AAAAAAAAAAAAAAATCATACAGAAAGACAGCAATAAGGTCATTAAGAAGACAAGAAGGAATGAAATGATATACGATAGGATGAATGTAAAGCTAATGCTTTCCCATGTAAACTGAATACAAATTGAAATCTTTCAGCAAGATGATCCAGCACTGGAGGCACTCACTCATCTATGCCAAAAAAATTGGAAAAGAGCTACCTGGCCAATTGATTGGAAGAGATCCATATTTGAGCCCATTCCAAAGAGAAGTGGCCCAACAGAATGTGGAAATCATCAGACAATCTCAATAATACCAAATGCTGCATCAGTACATTGAAAGGGAACTGTCAGAGGTTCAAGCTCAATTGAGACGAGGATGTCGAACTAGGGATATCATTGCTGATGTCAGACAGATCTTGACTGAAAGATGTTTACTTGTGCTTTATTACCTACACACATTCTTTCTACTGTGTGAATCACGAAAAACTACGGACAGCACTGAGGAGAATGGGTATTCCAATAACACTTAATCATGCTCATGAGTTACCTGTACATAAAATAAGAGGCAGTCATTCGAACAGAACAAGGAGATACTAAATGATTTAAAATCAGAAAAGGTGTGTGCCAGTCTTGTATTCTTTCACTATACTTATTCCGCCTGTACATTAAGCATATATATATTTATATATATATAAAGAAGAATGTGGCATCAGGATTGGAGGAAGACTCATTAACAACCTGCAATATGCAGATGATACAACCAGCTTTAGTGAAAGGGACTGTTGTTGTTGCTGTTAAATGCTGTCTAGTTGGTTCTGACTCATAGCGACCCTGTATAGAATTTCCAAGGAGCAGCTGGTGAGTTTGAACCACCACCTTGTAGTTCAAACCAATCTTGTGGTCTAGTGCTTTATCCCACACCAGGACTCCACTGAAAGAAAAGAGGACTTAAAATACTTACTGATGAGATCAAAGACCACAGCCTTCAGTATGGGCTGCACCTCAATGGAAAGAAAATAAAAATCCTCACAGCTGTACCAATAAATAATATCATGATAAACAGTGAAAAGATTGAAGTTGTCCAAAACTTCAACACTCATGGAAAAAGCAGTCAAGAAATCAAACAATATATTTATTGCACTAGGCAAACTGCTGCACAAGAAATATTTAGGAATGTGCCAAGAAAACGTACTGGACAAAAAAACAAAAGAAAAGAGTTGTCTGAAGGAGGTAAGAGGTCAATAGTTATCAGCAGGGAAGTCAAGAAAGGTCAGGATAGGGCTACACATAGGCAGTTAGTATGTATAATTGATGGTGGTGATGTGGCAAGGAGTCGATTCCAATTCAGTGACCATGTATAGGGTTTGTTGTTGTTGTTAAGTGCCATTGAGTCAATTCCGACCCATAGCGACCCTGTATAGGATTTCCAAGGAGCAGCTGGTGAGCTTGAACCGCCAACCTTGCAGTTCAAACGGCTTTGTAGACTGGCACATTAACCCACAGCGCCACACCAGGACTCGGCTTTAAATCTTTATGGTAGCAGGAAACCTCATCTTTCTCCTGCCAGCCTGTACGAATGTTGTTGTTAAGTACGGTTGAGTCAATTCTGACTCATAGAGACCCTACATAAGGTTTTCAAAGAGTGGCTGATGGGTTTGAACCATCAACCTTGTATTTAACAGCCCTGTGTTTATCTTATAGCTCAACACCAGGACTCCCATGCATTTTCTTGGTATGTATCATTAGACCGTGAAGTATCAAAATTCAAAAATCTTACCTTCAATATTTTTAATCTCTTCCTTAATGACTTCCCTAAACTTGGACAGCATTTTAGAAGCAGATAATATTTCACCTTCTAAAAACCGTCTCAGAGGATTTCCCTTGGGATTTCTTTTGAACTTCACAAAATAAAAAGCTCCACTATCGCCATATTCTTCTAGCTGAATTCTTTCGACTTCCAGTTTAAACATGACATCAAATTCATTAGGAGCAGATACCTATGAAATAGTAAAAAAAAAAAAAAAAAAAAACTGGGCTAAAATGTTTGCTTGTGAATATTTACCAAGCTACAGCAATTTTTTTTTTCTTCAAATTTCTACTTAAGTCTACTTTGAAAAACAAAATTCCAACCTTTTATATCCTCTGGAACTGGGACTAGAGGGACTAGGTGTGGGTGGAAGCATATTACTGGCTTTATTGTAATGACTTCTACTCAATCGGGAGGAAAAAGTCAGAGGCTGAGAAGAGGGAAAAGGAAGTCAGGCCCGCGTGCTGGGCAGCTCTCACCTTTACACGTTCGTAGTAGCTTCCCGCACGCAGCGGCGAGATGCCTTTGAATTCGAAGCACTGCAGTTTCCGCAACAGGTGGTCTACGACCTTGTTCACGGTTTCTGCCGCCATTGTGATCTCCGGACGGCTCAACCTCAACCTATCCAACACTACCCGGGGCTTCCATTCTCTGGGCGCTGACTCACTCCGATCGAGGCTCGGGGCCGAAACCAGCGGGCCGGGGCTCGGCAACTCCTTAAGCCGGGGCGCGGATCTCCGCTCCCGAACGGATCCCGAGCCCCGTAGGCGGCGAGATCCTGCCCTCACTACCGGAGGCTTCTGAGATTCGTAAGAGTCTTGCCTTTCCGCCGGGCCCTTCGTAGCTTCCCGCCCCTCCAACCGGACGGCGTCGGCGTCATCGGAGGGTTTCGGGTCCCTGGCGCTAATGGGCGCCTTCTTGCCGCGGGCCCCCAGCGAGCGGACCTGAGGCTTCTCCAGGGGACCCTGGACCATGTTCTTTCGCAGGGACTCACCCGAGGGGCTGCAGCTTCCCGGGCAAAGCTGAGTGTTCCCAGAGGCAGGCGGAAATTCGGTGGGCTCAGCCTGGGCGCCTCTCGCATTTCGCGTCGAGCCTTTTGGAGTCGCGGCTCCGGCTTTCTTAGATGTCCTCGTGTCCTTTACCCGCTGAGCGTCCATATCGTGTGCTTTCTGTTCCTCAGAAGGAAGAATGGCTAGGAAAAAGGAGAAGAGACCAGTAGTCTAGGTAGGAAATGAAACTTAGAAATCTGGCGGGAACACAGCGGAGTGTCTACGCTGGGCAGAGAACTCGTGAAAATGGGCGGTCACAGGGAACCACGCCCTGCTGCCAAGCGGTCAGCCTCCACAGAATCAGAATGGAAGTTTTCCTGATGCAGACAGAACCAGAATTCTCTTCTTGTTGCAGATGTGAGACCAAGAAGACTCCGAGACAGAATTTTTTGGAAGAGACAAGAGACAGCTTTATTATAATTTTGAAAATGTAAGGAGACACAGATCTTTGTCACCAACTGTCTCCCTAAAGAAAGGAACTAAGGGTATTTTATAAGGTTTCAGGGAATGAACAGAGACAAATCATTTTTCAAAAGTATGGAAACCTATTACAAGCAAGGGTGTGGATACAAATCACAATGTTGAAACGGTAAATATGTCTTTTTTTAAGCAAAAAAACAAAACTTTTTTTTCTAAGTTTTTATTGTGAATTATGTGATAGTTTACATGGGAGAACATTAGCTATACATTCATCCTATAGTATTTCGTTTCATTGTCATGTTTACAATACCTTACATGCTTCATCAAACATCCAAAGGGTAACCCAGCCAGCCTGTGTCACCTAACCCCTGCCCTATCTCTGTCAACCCTGTGTACCCAGGGGGTGGGAATGATCCTCGCTGTAAAGATTTGTTCCCTCTTTTGAGCAACTACATCCATAGGTATAGGTCAAGTTCATCAAGTTGTATCAGATTACACTTTTTTTTCCCCTTTTCTTTTAGTAATTTCTGATCATCCAGCCATTGAAGCCAGGTCAAGAGGGTACTATCTCAAGTATGGATGTTCTTGTGCATCTCCCCTCATTTCCCCTTATCAATTGGATGCTTCACTCTCTACTCTACTCCTCTGTGGCCATCACTGTCTCTGGGCCCAGGAGTCCCCAGGACTTGCCATACTGCTGGCCAACCAGGTCTCAACCCAGGTTCACAGGAGTCTATTGAACGTGGTCAGACTTAGCTTACAACTTCATTGCTGTTTTTTTCCCCACTTCCCCTTATCAGTGACCAACATGGTCACCAGTCAGACTGCATGCCTGCTCATATATTTCCCTTGAGTCTTAGTCTTGGAACGGAATTTGTCTTGGGGGGACTCTACCACTTGCCTTGGTGGCTCCTAGATGAACAACTTGCTTGTTTTTGTAGTAGTCAATCAGACTACTGTTATTATTTTTAATTTTTCCTGCCAATCTTTCTTTCAAAAAGTATCTTCTGTTCTTCTAGCTGCTCCAGGCTGGTCTGCGTGTCCTTTCAAGTGGAGATTTCCCACTTCAGAAGATTCTGGATGGGGTTCAGGATTCCCCCTATTATATTATGCAATGCAGAGGCTCTGCAGAAAGCCTCCTTCACTGGGCAAGTTGTAGCCCCATTTTAGGTACTCCAATCAGTTATAGGCTGAAGACAGACCTACAAGCTTTCTATTGTGATGTTTCTGGCTATTCCTTTCTGTCCCCCTCAAGTGTCTATTTTACAATAGTATGCAAGGGAAACCAAGATTCAAAAGACAGACAAGTATCTTAACATTATTTCCCCTCGTTTACCCATTCAAGCCATCACAGAGCCCTGTCGTTCCAAGGTTGTGCATACATCATTTTTTACCTCTGTCTCACTTAGCCCATGCAAACCTTTCTAACTGTACTCCCATCTGCCTTGTTCTTCCATTCCCCTCCCCTTTCTTGTGTAGTGTCCTCTGACCCACTCCCCAGCACCCAAGATATCCTGTTTCTATTCCCTATCTTGTGCTCTACCTTCCTCTTCCTCCCCTCCCCCCACCCTACACATCCCAGTAACCTGCAAAGAATTTTTTTCTCCCCTTTTTAGTTGTTGTTGTTGTTGTTAAGTGCCGTCGAGTCGGTTCCGACCCATAGCGACCCTGTACAGGGTTTCCGAGGGTGTAAATCTTTACGGGAGTAGAAAGCCTCATCTTTCTCCCGCGGAGCAGCTGGTAGTTTCGAACCGCTGACCTTACGGTTCGCAGCCCGATTCGTAACCACTACACTACCAGAGCTCCTTTTTAGTAGGAGCTCTTTTTCTTAGTCTTTTACAAGAATGGGCCTATGCAGTATTTCTCCTTTTGTGACTGACTAATTTCACTTAGTATGATGTCCTCAAGGTTCATCCATGTTATGCGGTGGCTTGCAGCTTCCTTCTTATTCTTCAAGGTAACATAATAGTCCATTGTGTGTATGTACCACAGTTTCTTTATCCATCCCTCCATTGATGGGCACTAGGGCTGTCTCATATTTTTGCTGTTGTAATATAGTGCTGCTGTGAACATTTGTGTGTGTATATCTACTTGTGTTATGCCTCCTATTTCTTGTGAGTAAATACCAAGTAGAGGAATTGCTGGATCATGAGATATTTCTATTTCTAACCTTCTGAGGAAACGCCATATTGCTTTCCACAGTGGTTGGACCGTTTTGAAATCCCACCAGCAATGTAGGAGTGGCCCAGTCTCTCCACATCCTTGCCAGCATTTATTGTTCTCTACTTTTTTTATCTTTTCTGTTATTTATGGTGTGAGATGATATCTCATTGTTGTCTTGATTTACATCTCCCTAAAGTCCTGGTGTGGCGCTGTGGATTAATGTGCCAGACTGTAAAGCCATTTGAACTGCAATGTTGGCAGTTAAAGCTCACCAGCTGCTCCTTGGAAACTCTATACAGGGTCGCTATGTGTCGGAACAGACTCAATAGCACTTAACAACAACGACGACGACTAGTGATCGTGAACATTTCTTCATATGTTTGTTGTTCTCCTCCTTGATGAAGTCTCTGTTCATGTCCTGTGCCCATTTTTTAATTGGGTTATTTGTCTTTTTCTTGTAGAGGTGTTGCAGTTTCCTATATGTTTTAGAAATTAGTCCCTTGTCCGATGTGTCATTGCAAAAGATTTTTTCCCATGCAGTGGGTTCCCTTTTTAATCTCCTGGCGAGGTCTTTTGATGCACATAAATTTTTAATTTTTAGTAAGTTCTAATCATCTATTTTGTCTACTTTTGTTTGTGTCATTTTCAAAATGTTTGGTAGTCTGTATATGCCCTGAATTAGAGCCCTCACATTTGTCCCTATTTTTTCATTGATGACCTTTATAATTCTGGGATTCACATTTAGGGCTTTAATCCATGCTGAGTTGGTTTTTGTATAGGGCGTGAGGTAAAGGTTTGTTTCAATCTTTGCATATCGCTTTCTAGTCTGCCAGCACCATCTGTTAAAGAGACTATCTTCTCCCCATGTGACACACTTAGGCACTTTGTCGAAACTCAGTTGGCTATATGTGGATGGATTAATTTCTGGATTCATTGACCAATGTATCTTTCGTTGTACCAGTACCAAGCTGTTTTGACCACTGTAGCTGTGTAGTAGATTTTAAAATCAGGGAGTGAGAGGCCTTCAACCTTGTTCTTCTTCTTGAGCAGTGCTTTGCTTATCCTGGGTCTCCTTCCTTAACATATAAAGTTTGTAATTATCTTTTCCATCTCTTTGAAGAATGTTGCTGGAATCTGGATTGAAATTGCATTATATGTATAAATTGCTTTGGGCAGTATTGACATTTTCACAATGTTAACTTCCTATCCAGGAGCATGGTACATTCTTCCAGTTTTGTAAGTCTCTTGTTTTCTTGTAGTAGTGTTTTATAGTTTTCTTTGTATATGTCGTTTGTTACTCTGGTTACATTTATTCCTAGATATTTCATCCTTGGGGTGGCTATTATAAATGGTATTGCTTTCCTAATGTCCTTTTCAGCCCTGTCCTTATTAGTATAGAGGAATCCAACTGATTTTTGTATATTGATGTTATGTCCTGCCACTTTGCTGAATCTTCCAATGAGGTCTTGTAGCTTTATTACTGAGTCTTTGGGGGTTTCTATGTATAGGATCATATCGTCTGCAAATAGAGTTTTACTTCCTCTTTGCCAATTT